TCGTTCGTCTTCGGAACACAATTTAAGATATTTTGGATGAAAACCGGGAGGCTTGTGACTGTCCCATTGACTGCCAAGTAAATGGTACAGAAAAGTATGAAAGACATTAACAAAAATAACGACTTTATTCAACAATTTGTCTCCTCTGTCTCTCTGCATCACCGTAGTGCCATTTTGGAGAATAACCACTGAACGCAAGCAGCGTACGCTCTTCTGTGTCAGCCACGACACACGGATGCGCTGTTTTCGTTCAAATCAAAGTGTAAATACACGTAGAAAATATATCCTTGTGTCGCGGCTGACACAGAAGAGCGTACGCTGCTTGCGTTCAGTGGATATTCTCCAAAATGGCACTACCGTGATGCGGAGAGACTCAGACGAATTGTTGAATAAAGTCGTTATTTTTGTTTTCGTCACATACAAAAAGTATTCTCGTCGCTTCATAAAACTCAGATTGAACCACTGATGGCAGATGGACTATTCTGACGATGTCTTTCATACTTTTCTGGACCTTGACAGTGTAATTTACTTGCCAGTCAATGGGACAGTCACAAGCCTCCCGGTTTTCATCCAAAATATCTTAAATTGTGTTCCGAAGACGAATGAAGCTTTTACGGGTTTGGAACGACATGGGGGTAAGTGATTAATGACAAAATTTTCATTTTGGGGTGGAGTATCCCTTTAATTATCAATAAGAACTTCTGTATGAGATACAGAAATAAAGTCAATCTGGTTAGTAATGGGTGAAGCTGGTAATGCTGTTTGTTTAATCCTCGTCTGCTGAGATCTTGAGAGATTTAATGTCTTCTTTTATTTCAGTTGATTTCATCTAATGCCGAGTTCACACTGCACGATTTTCAAAGTCGTTGGATTACCGTTGTTTTCTCACTGCACGACTATCTGGGATAGCATTCAGTTGCGGCTGTGTTCACATTGCACGATGGATCGGCGACAGGAGGTTACACACTGCATGACTTTACAATAGGAAGAATGGCCGACAACTCTGTGTGGTCCGCAAACTACGTTTCACAACCAAACGCACTCGAGAAGAGATAAGGAAATAATTATCTTCATTGTCCATTGTCACATTCATTACTCATTACAACATACCTTAATAATTCATAATGATTGTAATAATTTTTTATAATAATAATACTTTTAATACTTTAATAATAATATTTTTAATAACATTTAATACTTTTTATTATACCTCATGCACTTATTTTTAATACGGGGTGCACTCTACTCTTACATGCATTTCATAGTACTGAATTTTTAATTAATTTTTAGATATAATTTGAAACACACTGACTTGACTGATTTATGTAGGTTCTTGCTTAAAATAAAAACTGATGCTATTTCATGTATTAAAAGTAGATAAAGATGGTAAATAAATAAATAAAAAAATGAGTAAAATAGGAAAGTTTTTCAACTTTTTTCTTTCTTGACCCTGTGGTACAGCTCAGATGAAACATCAAATAGACATGGGTGCTCCTGCCAAAGTTAGACTAAACTTTCCTCCATTTCTTGGGTCTAAATAGACAAGAGAAGGAGCCTTTCTCAGAACCGAAGCTGCTGATATTGTGGTCTATAAGTCCTCCCTGAACTTCCCGCTGCCCTGTATCTTGCTCTCTCATTGGATGTAGGTCATCGCCGATGTAATAATAATACTTTTAATACTTTAATAATAATATTTTTAATAACATTTAATACTTTTTATTATACCTCATGCACTTATTTTTAATACGGGGTGCACTCTACTCTTACATGCATTTCATAGTACTGAATTTTTAATTAATTTTTAGATATAATTTGAAACACACTGACTTGACTGATTTATGTAGGTTCTTGCTTAAAATAAAAACTGATGCTATTTCATGTATTAAAAGTAGATAAAGATGGTAAATAAATAAATAAAAAAATGAGTAAAATAGGAAAGTTTTTCAACTTTTTTCTTTCTTGACCCTGTGGTACAGCTCAGATGAAACATCAAATAGACATGGGTGCTCCTGCCAAAGTTAGACTAAACTTTCCTCCATTTCTTGGGTCTAAATAGACAAGAGAAGGAGCCTTTCTCAGAACCGAAGCTGCTGATATTGTGGTCTATAAGTCCTCCCTGAACTTCCCGCTGCCCTGTATCTTGCTCTCTCATTGGATGTAGGTCATCGCCGATGTATTTTTCAGTCAGAACTCATTTCACACAGCAGGATTTTGAATCGCCAACAGATCCAGATATTTAGCATGTCAAATATTTCACGGGCATCTGCGATGTGTCTGTGATTCTCTCAGATCGCGTTTTTGATAATTCACACGCATTCGCATGATTGTCACTCGCGTGAATGAGCACCATTTTTCCTTCGATTTCGGGCATTTGTCGGTAATTTCGCAAAACATGTCGGCGAGTGAAAATCGGGGCTAAAATCGTGCAGTGTGATTTCGGCATAAGGCTGTAACTAAAGTCTGTTGCAGTTTTTGTGTTTCTCTTTCCTTCAGTGATTCTGCTTGTTAACAGCAGGTGTTCGTCACTAATGCGCAATCATCACTGAATAAATCACTTAATTATCTCATTAATTTCAACACTGCTTCAGTGTTACTTTAACACTCTTGTAGAGTGGGCCCTATATGCTCTGAGCAGTGTTTATTTAACACTCAGGATTTTGCTGTGTAGTAGGCTACTGACAAAATACAAGCCTTCATAGTTAGTTTGAATGGATTAAAAAAAATAGCTCAGAGCGTACTCCCCAGGGAAGAGGGAGCATAAAGACGGGTGAGCAACTGTTGGACTGTTGTTTATACAGAGGTATCTGACAGGATCAGTGGATCTGGTCTGGAGAAATGTACCTGGCATCATTCTAAAGTGAGCTAGAGAATTTAACTTAAAATCTGCACTGATTTTAACTGATTCCAACAAACTGCAGACTAATCAACTCAATTTTATAAACTTAGACTTCAATGTCTAACATGAATTGTCTCCACTATCCAAAAAGCGGAGGCGGAGCATAACATCTAGAACAGCATCCAAAACAGAAAATGTCTAAAGCATGAGTAAACTAGCCTTATTATATAATCTGTTCAGAGACTATCTCTTGACTATTATTTCTGCAGTTTGGTTTGGTGACATCAGGGATGCAGCGATTAACTGATTTCATGATTAACCACACTTTAAAATGTCACGGTTAATTAATTGTAAAGGCTCCACTACACTACTGAATGCTTGTATGTATGCGCAGCGCGATCTCCGATCTCACAAACCAAAATAATAAGACATGATTTTTTCAGGCCACATGTAAAATCATATGAATGATTATAAAGATTATTAAAATGAATATGTATGGATGACAATTACAGTTCAGTTAATTCCCCTCATTAGTAACGGTTTCCCCTGGGGGATAAATAAAGTTAATATTAGTCTTATATTAATAATAATACTTCATTAACACTGTGATTTATTATCCCTGTTATAGTATCATTTATAAGTCAAAAACCAACATGATACTTTTTCACCGTGTTTCCAGGTTTTCTACCTCAGGTCCAAAAGAAATGTAGTAAGAATGCACAAACTGAAAACACTAAATACTTTTGTGATCTATTTCCATTTGTTATTTTCAAAAGGGAAATACTGACATGGATGTTTTCAGACCAGAGTTCACCTTTTTTAATTCCAAAGAGAGAGATGGACTGTTGTTTGTCTTTATTATTATTTTGTGTTGTATTATTTGGTTACTGTGTTATTTCTGTTTCAAAAGACAGTAATAAATAACACTTTAAAATCGAAAGAGTGTTCATGTGATTTTATACATTAGAAGTGTTGTGAAATTAATGAATGCATAACCGTGAAACCGTGATTATTCTTCAGACTATAATCGTACCAACAAAATCTATAATTGTTGCATCCCTACATCAGAGATGCAGAAATGACTAAGATCTTCACTAGTATCATGGAGGATATTATTTTCAAGCCCTAAATTAAACAATTATCACTGTTTGTTGTAAATTACTTTCCATTTGAGAGCTCATCCGATCATCATAGAGAAGCTGAGCTTCTGTCTGGGACAAAAATAAAGTTATTTAAGCTTCCCATGCAATCTTTTTTTGAGAACTAAAGTTTCTCTTGACAACCACAAAACAATGACAAATTCTCTCTCACACACAGCAGACAGGATGATTGTTTCTGCTCAACTTACTTGAGTTTTTCCAGGTGGTTGAGCAGCTTCACTCCTGAATCTCCTGGGTGATTGTAGCTCAGGTCCAGCTCTCTCAGGTGTGACGGGTTTGAACTCAGAGCTGATGCCAGAGCAGCACAACCTTCTGCTGTCACCAAACACTGAGATAATCTACAACAGAATGTGTTCATGTTAGTGTGCTTCATTTTTCAGAGAAAAACAATACAATACACAATATAATGACCAACAGGACTCTTCAGCTGGCAGTCTGTGGGCCAAATCCACAAATCCTCTGATTGATTTAAACAAAATTGTGCTGCTGCCTGACACGAGATAATCTGCAAACCTCATTGGTGAGTTCAAAAGCACTTAATGTATATCCAGATCAAAGAGTGTGTCTTTTTTCTGGTCACAGTTCAGCTCAACTGGTTTCCCAAATATTAACCAGCATCATTTAGACACAAATAATCGCATTTATTTAATTTCCTATTGCTCACCTTATCAACTGTTCTAAGTCTTCTAGGTCTGTCCCTCTATTATTAAAAAATGCTGCTGTCTTATTTTAAATAAATCTGAGCTCGATTTTCCAGTTATGAACAATTTCAGACCTAACTCCAATCTCCTTTAATTTACAAACTCCTTGAAAAAGTTGTTGTCTCTCATCTACGGGGCTCCATTAAATCCATCTCAGAATATTAAAAATCAGGGTGTTACATTTGATTCTTCACTTATCTTTCAAAATCATATAAATATAATTTCTAAGACTGCATTTTACCACCTTTGCAATATTGCCCGACTGCGGCCTGTTCTCTGCCCCAAAGACACTGAAACTATAGTTCACACTCACGTCTTGACTATTGTAATTCTCTTCTTATTGGACTGCCTGATAAAACATTTGCTAAATTACAATATGTCCAAAATTCTGCTGCCAGAGTCATTTCTCAGGTTAAGAAATCTGGACATATTACCCCAATTCTTCATAATCTGCTTGATTGCCTGTTTCTGTCTATATTCAGTATAAAATTCTTCTGTTACAATGTAAAACTTTGCTGTAAAAATGGCCAAATTCTAACAGTAACACTGTTTTTCATTAAAACCGTTGAAAACAATGCATTCTATGTAATATTTGTTGTTTTCTATATAATATAACTGTGAATTATCAGTGTTCAGAGTCGACACTCAGAGGCTGTGTTCCAAATCACACCCTACACTAGTGTTGCTTTCGTCAACGAAAATTATGACTAAATATCGTCGTCAACGAACCTTTATTACGTGACAAAAACGAGACGAGACGAAAATGCTGGTCATGTGACGATGACTCACACAAAGACTAGACTAAAACTAAAATTAAAACAGGCCGCCAAAAACAACACTACCCTACACCCTCATTCACTATTCCCTACATGAGTTTACTAATATAGTCCACCTGACAGAGATAATCCAGACACTGATGAACACCTGCTGTTAACAAGAATCACTGAAGAAAAGAGAAACAAAAGAACTATGACTGAAAATAAAAGACATTAAATCTCTCAAGATCTCAGCAGCATTACTAGTTTCACTTATTACTAATACGTTTGACTTTATTTCTGCCATATGTCTAAAGAAGTATCTTTGAGAATTATCAGAGGTTTAGATGTTGATGTTTTATTGAAAATAATGGATTCATTTGAAGTCACTATTATCGAGAACAGTGTTTGCTTTTGTTGGGTTCTTGATTCTTGAATTTTACTTTGTCTTTGGCTGATTCTGTTTTTTAAAAGCACAAACGTACACTGTAAAAAATTATATGATGAAAAAGCCATGACAACTTATGTTTTTAAGTTACTTTAACTCATAAAAATAATTTAAGCAATTTTAACTCAAACAAGGAGACACGGGCAGACTATACAGCGAACTAACTAAATCATGGAGGAATTTCAGACGAACAACTCTTGAACTTGAGGAAGCTGTCCGTTGGGCTGGCGCGAAGAAGCATATTCAACGTGGATGAGGGGAGTGAATGCTTGTGTAACAATTTTTGGGAGATTATTGTTCATTTTAGCAGAATAGAGCAGAATTAGTTATGTTCTGTCATTGTTTTCCGAAGGACAGTGACCCGCAGAGCAGGATTCGACACCCCAAAACAATCACTTTTTTTTTTGTTATTCAAAACATTGAATGTGTTTAATTAATTTGTGTATATTGAAGTCTGTCAGTGTGTATTGTATATAGAATAACCAACTGTTAGTAATTTTTACTGTTATTTTCTGATTTTAAAGGCTCACAATAACAGCCTTCTGATTTTAAAGGCTGTTATTTTCTGATTTTAAAGGCTCACTTCATACACACACGAAGGGCGTGCAAGCTGGCCTCCTAATACGAAGACTACGATGGTGCACTGCAGGACACCTTTCTCCTTTTAAATGTTCAAGAAAAAAAAAGGAGTGTAATGGACATGTATGTGTGTTTTTTTTCAAGCTTTTCTCAGTGGTTGTTTCTCATGAGGTATGAGTGTATTTTCAGCTTTGTATGACAGTTTCTTGGCAGTTTTTTGCTGCTTTTGTGCCCTTGTTGTATCCATATACTGGCATTCACACATTAGCATGCACAGGCAGGCTGTGTACTGTTCTTAATATTAAAACCCTGTTTATAAGCACTGCAAGAAAAAAATAAATTTTAAATGTTTCAAACAAATGTTGTAGTATATATATATTTTTATCTGGATCTAAAATAAAGTTTACATAATCATAACTAGAAAATTTATGTAAAACATTTTGAACTCAAGTTGAAACAGCAAATATTGTAAAGTCAAATGAACTTCAATAAAACAATTCAGCACTAGGCAAGATTTAAATTAGTGAGTTGAAATGACTTGTACTTTTAAGTTGATTTAACTTAAAATTTTAAGGCAGCCACAAAACTTACGTTTTTAAGTTGAAAGGGGTGACATTTTTTTAGTGTACGGAGCAGTCTGCTCGTGGTACTGTAATACACCGATAGGTCTCGTTCTAACACGCCCCCAGATATCTACCTCACTATGTGGAAATATTTGCATAATGCTGCCCAAATGTGCACGCAAAGAAAGAAGGCGTGGTTTCAGTAACCGCAGTTAGTGTTGAAGCAGCATGTCAGGGAGACGTCGTGGTATCTTACTATAGCCTAATACACCGATAGGTCTGCACAGTCCACTTTCCACTATCTCCGACAAATGACAGACCGAAAGTCATTCATTTCCAATGGAGAGTAGCGCGGGAGCTGTGTAGAGTTCCAATCATATGCAGATGTCCGTTCATACTACAAGACCGAAAGCGCGTGTTATGTGACCATTCATGCACACTGTAGCATCATGCTACATAAGACCAGGGTTTAAATTGGGCCAGGCCGTCTGGGGCTGAGCCCCGGCACTTATAGACTCCAGGGCTTGACATTAACTCTTCATTAACGCCAGACAAGTAACATGATTAAAACATCAGTAACCAAAAATAACTATGTAAACACCAAAACGCAATATTATTCTGATTTTATTACATTTAGAGTAAGTGGCGAATAGTGGATATCTAATGTATATAATGTATCTATTGACAGTATAACGTTGCGCTGCTGAGGCGAGGCTCCCGCAGCCTCTCCAGGAGAAATCAAAACGCGCAACACTAAGAAACTCAGCATCCTGAGGTAAAAATTCAAAATGGAAAGTTTTTATATTTAAAATACTGTTAGTGAGGCAACATCACACAACGTTTTCACCATTACGACTGTTAGTTCTATAAACAGTTCAATAAGCAAATACAATAATATTAGGACACTTACATTTTAGGCGGAAACAGCGCATCTCACAGCAACCAGCCGATTCATTGCTGATTGATTCCGTGTTTTGAACGAATCGGTTGAGTCAAAGTTTCATTAGCCCATCATGCATAAACATCTGGGGCCGGTTGCACCAGCTAGATGTAAAAAAGCTGGGTGTAAGCCCTACGCTGGGCTTTGCAATGTCCAGCTTTACGATAAATATTTACACCTGTTGCACCCACTGAAACTACGATCATGCGCAGCTACGCCCGGCGTAGACAATGCGCATCCACGCTGACACATTCTCCCACGGTGATAGCGGAGACGACTTCACGCTGCAATGACTACAACTACTAATATAAAACTGAATTGCTTAAGACATCATAACAAGTGAAGCCACCACGCCATGATTTCAATGAGTAAACATTTTCTAACAAGTCTGCGTTTTTATATTTGAAGTCTCCCTGCACATTCCCAAGACAGATTTCATCAAAGTTAAGTAAAATATAATAAATGATTATTGGATGGCAGGCACGATACAAATAATGAATGGAATTAAAGACGTGAAATATTTCCAAGCATTTACACTGTCCTTCCAAACAAGATGTCAAATGGTTCAGTTTCTTTTAATAATCCTAGTTCATATGTAATATTTTACTGCATAATTATTACATGCTGTACAGAAATATATTTTGTATTCAATTACTATCTGCAGTGTGATAGGCTATAAACACCAAGTTTCGCGATCGCTTATCCTGCCCGAAAAGACAGGAAACATACAGTTCACGTCTGCAGTAATTATTAACAAACAGACATGAATCCTAAAAACGAATATGTTCTTTAATATTTTGAATTGTTTTTAGCTTTATTTTTTGTTTTTCTTTTAAATGTTAAGTTTTTACATTTTTGTTGTATGCATTTGTCGCTAGCGGAAATGCAAGTGTCTGAGAGTGCAAGCCTGAGAATGCAAGTCTGAGAGTGCAAGCGCAAGGCTGCAGCCAGACTCTTCTTGATGAATCTGCCGTTTGAATGAATCATTTGAATGAACGACTCAATGACTCACTCATTAAACGCTCACTACTGGCACCTACTGGCATTTTAATTTAGTTGAAAACTATCATTTCCACCATAATTTCTTGTTTGTATATTCAAAAATATTTAAAATAATCTCATAATTATGAAAATGAATAGAAATTATGATTCTGTCTGAGCTATGCGTTTTAAAACGAACACTAACTAGTGTAAATGTAGTCTAACAGATGTGTAAACTGAAGACTATTTGAGCTTTATTAAAACTATTTGCACTGATTTTTTGTTAGTTACATTTTGTTTCTTTGTGCAGTGGCTCAGGAGATGAGTCTTTGAGTCTGTATAAACATCAACAAGCTGAAAAATAAAAGTTT